TCCCATGCCGGGGCAGCCACAGGACAGCTGCTGTCAGCAGTGCTCGGTGACTAAGGAGCAGGCAAGCATGCTCAGTTTTCACACACACTAAGCGCTAGGGCCGGGTGTGACTTCAGAAGAACTTACTGCAGCTTCTCGTCCAGAGTCAAACCAAGGCACGAACAGAGATGGCCTCACCAGCCCCCAGACATAGAAAGATCACCTGAGATTCCAAGCCAGTGCCAGACCAATGCCCTTCTACCACCAGATGGTAGAACGCCTAGCCCCAAACTAGCCCCAGAGCTGGCTCAGGTGGGGGTGGGGGGCATTTCTGCACGGCTGGATTGAGGAAGGCAACCTCAGCTAAGTCATTCTCTCTGTTTTGTCTGGACTCCTTCATCTGAGAGATGTCTCCAGTACACCAAGTCATACTACTGTTAGGAAGATAAGATAAAGGTCAGGTGTGTTGCCTGGCACACAGCGGAGCCTCGGTGATGGTAGTGATTGTTACCATGGAGACACCCTGGACCAGAGAAAGATTCCCTACAGTAACATTGCAGAGCTTTTCCCACTTAACAGTCTACAGGATTGTCCAGATTCTTGCCAACTTGACACTTCAAGCCAGGGTCACTGCATTTATTAGTCAGGGTTCTCTAGAGGAACAGAACTGATAGAAAAAAAAAGTATATGTATATGTGTATATATTTCAAGAATTTCAGTATACATATTCAAGAATTTTAAGAATTTCAACATATACACAAAGAATCCAGTAGCTGTTCAGTCCACAGGGACAGATGTTTTGGCTGGTCTTCACCATATGCCAGAATCCTGAAGATGGGCTCTAATGCCACCAAGTGTGAGGGCAAGCAGGCAAAAAGTCAGAACCTCAGTCTTCCGTGTCCTTTATATAGGCTGCTACCAGAAAGCGTGGCCCAGATTAAAGGTGGATCTTTCCACCTCAAGAGATCTGGATTAAAAGCGAGGTTTCCCACTTCAAATAAATTAATAATAATAATAATTAATAATAATATTAATAATAAAAAGATCCCTCCCAGGTGTACCCAGCTACTTGGGTTTTGGTTAATTCCAGGTGTAGTCAAGTTGACAACCAAGAATGACAACCACCATGGTCACCTGGAAGAAGGAAACTTCACTTGAGAAAATGCCTACATCAGACTGCCCTACAGGGGAGTCTACAGGCCATTTTCATTGATTAATGATTGATGTGGGAGGACCCAGCTCACTCTAGGTGGTGTCACCCATGAGCAAGTGGGCCTGGTCGGTGCGAAAGAAGGCCAAGCAAGCCATGGGGAGCAAGCCAGTAAGCAGTGTTTATCTGTGGCTTCCGCTTCGGTTCCTGCCTTGATTTCCTGCTCTGAGTCATTCATGATGGTTGTAAGCTCTAAGATACAATAATCCCTTTCCTCCCCAAGTTGCTTTTGGTCATGGCATTTGCCACAACAACAGAAAGCCAACTAGGACAAGGACTGAGATGGGTCCCTAACTTGGAAATGTTGAGCCAAGTGCCAAAGCCCTGCAATGCCCTACACAGACAGACTGTTGAATTCAGGGAGAAAAGCACAGAGGAGCCCCACCCTTCCCTCCCCCTGCCTCCACCCCCACTCCCAGCAAGAGAAGCTCATTGAGTCCTGGCTTGGGTGTCCAGGCTTCCGAGAGCAATGTGTTGGGAGTAACCCCAGATTTGGCATCTTGTGGTTTCCATGCTGCGAACCTTACATGCCAGTCTGTGAAGCAGAGGTGCGCATTTTACATCTGGCCAAAGGAGAGAGGCATGAGACCCCCAAGGCCCTGGGTTTGGGTCAACAGACTAAATGTGGCTCTCCTCCGCAGGAAAAAGAAAAGTCACATTAAAAACGAGGAAATCATGAAATTTGCAGGCAAATGGTGGGACCTAGAAATGATCATCCTGAGTGAGGTATCCCAAAAGCAGAAAGACACACCTATAAGATAGGATAAACATACTAAAATCTATACACTTAAAGAAGATAAACAAGAAAGAGGACCCAGGGTACAATGATCAATCCTCACTTAGAAAGACAAACGGGATGGACATTGGATATAGGAGCAAACAAGTAACAAGACAGGAGCCTACCACAGAGGGCCTCTGAAAGACTCTGCTTAGCAGTGTATCAAAGCAGATATTAAGACTCATAACTAAACCTTCGGCAGAGTGCAGGGAATCAAAAAAAGGAGGGAGGGGAGTTAATATGACCTGAAGAGGACAGGAGTTTCACAAGGACCAAATATATCTGGGCACAGGGGTCTTTTATGAGACTGTTTCTCCAACCAAGGACCATGTATGGATGTAACCTAGAGCCCCTGCTCAGATGTAGCCCTCGGTAGCTCAGTATCCAAGTAGGTACCCTAATAAGGAGAACAGGGACTGTTTCTGACATGAACTCAATGGCGGGATCTTTGACCTCCCCCCCATCCCCCGAGGGAGGAGCAGCCTTGCTGGGCCACAGAGGAGGACTTTGCAGCCAGTCCTGAAGACACCTGATAAACCAGTATCAGATGGAAGGGGAGGAGGTTCTCCCTATCAGTGGGCTTGCAAAGGAACAGGGAGGAGATGAGGGTGGGAGGGTGGGATTGGGAGGGAAAGAAGGAGTGGGATACAGCAGGGATACAAAGTTAACAAACTGTAACTAATATTAAAAAAAATAAAAATTAAAAAAAGAAAAGTCACTACAGGGACATGATTCTACAAAGGGTTGGCAGCAGCTGTGGGGGCCAGTGAAAACAGAAAGAAAGCCATTCACCAGCCCAGCAAAAAGTCTAGCTTCGAGTCAGGGGGAAGAAGCGACCAGAAATCCAGAAGTTTAAGAGCTGAGACCCTCAAGAGGTGAGAGTAGGGGCAGAAAGGAAGACAATGGGGTGCTGATAATACAGCTGTCTGTAAAATCCTCACAAGGACCTGAGCTCACTTCCCAGAATGCAGGTGAAAAAAGCCAGCACAATGATGCCCTCATAATCCTGGTACTGGAGAGGTAGAGACAGGTGACTCCACGGGGCTCTCAGCCAGCCCAGCCCAACCAATCAGCAAGCTTAGAGCCAAGGAGACTCTGTCTCAGCAAAAGTAGACAGTGCCTGGGAAACACACACACACACACAAAGAGAGAGAGAGAGGAGGAGGAGAGAGAGGGAAGGAGAAGGAGAAAGGGCGGGGTGAGGAGGATAAGGAAGGAAAACATTGCTGTATTTAGGTCAGCTCTCTACCCAGCACAGCAATTTCACCTGCAACATTCCCCAAGGTGATCAGTTAAAAGCCCAGCGACAACTCCCTCTGGGGATATGGAGGTCCACGAGGTATCCAACACAGAAGAGAACTCATTCCTTGAAAGTTTTCACGCTCAAAACCACTTCACTTACTATAACTGATCTTAAGTGTAGTCTCCAAAATAACAAAATAAACAAACCCCTCTCTCCTTTATAGACTCGGGGCTAGACAAAGACAGCTAAAACATGGATGAGGCTGAATCTACAGCCACAGGCTTTAAAGAGAAAACAGAGACATAAAAACAAAGAGGCTGTAGTAAGCGCATACGTCACCAGGGCAGACACAGCCTCGAGTCAATGCCAAGCGCTGAGAGCCGCGCCTCTTACTTGCAACCTCAAGAACATCTGTAAAGGAATGTGGTCCATGGATGAAAATTAAGGGCCGAGATGCAGTCTAATGGAAGAGCGCTTGTTCAGGATGTCCAAGGCCCCGGGTTCCAGCCAAACACAACACAACAAACAAACAATAAACCCTACACGTTAAAGGTACCTGTTTGCTGCAAATTAAGATGCAAACAAGAGCCAAAAGAGGTCTCGGTCATGAGAAAGACGATTAAAATTATTTTCAGTTGCCAGTGTCTAGCTTAGCCATAATTTGGGGTGGGGTGGGGAGGAGGAGCATTCAAGACATTTAGGAATGGGTACAGGTAAGATTCTTTTTTTTTTTTTTTTAGAACAAGATCGGGTCTTGTTGTAGGCTAATGCCTACAGTATTCACGGAGAAGCAAATCTCTCCGAATAAGGGCAAAACAAAAGCAAAAACAAAACAAACAAACAAAAAAACCCAATGGGAGTATCAAAACAAAAGGGTCCCAGGAGACTCAATCAAAACTATTACCATACACTGAAAAATGTAAACCCAAGTGGGAATTCGGAGTCACCTAAGGCGTCAAAGCAAAAGGCAAAAGCTTAAATACTCTCTGCAGATTCCCCAGTGTCAGTTCCTTTCAGGACACTAAGTTGCTATCCTGTTTCAGCAAGACCCCCACCCCACCCCAATCCATCCACATAAGCAGTCGCTACCTAAATCTGCCAAATTACAGAAAACAAAGCAAATGGTCTTCAAGTTCCCGTCAGAGCCCCTCCTGGCCCCTCCAAGTCTATTCCAGCTCCTATTTCATATTTCCATGTGACTTCCACAAAACTGCAGGACGATGAGAAACGAAGCCTACAGAGTGATGAGTTTGCAAAAAGAAAAAAAGAAAAAAAAAAAAAAAAAACACCAGGGAACGGAACCACACCCAGAGCCCAACCCGGGAGCGGAGAACCCAGACAGAGCAAACCCAACAAGGACGCGACCCACGCGGAAGGGACAAGTGGCTTCTCGCAGGGCGAGTTTCCCCGCAGAAGGCGACGTGGCAGAAAGCAAACCGCTGCAGGAGTTGATAACCCTGTTCCGAGGATATCTCGGAAGCCCCCACACAGCCCTGGGCCTCAGTTTCCCCTACTATCGGAGGAGGGGGGTGGCAGTCTGGTAGCCTGTGACCCCAGGCAAGGGTATGGCTCGTCCAGACGCATCGAGAAACGGAGGGTTGGCCCTACCGGGGCATCGGTGAGCCCTTCTCCATCTGGGAGCCGTGCCTGCACATCTGTCAAAGGGGCTCAGAAGACCTCACCTCCCGAGGGACCTGTCCCTGAACAGCAGCATCTGCTTGGCGGGAGGTCGCGCGCTACAGCCGGAGGGGACTACAGCCGGATTGCAGCTCAGGGCGCGCCCTACTCACCGGTCAGCCCTGCCGGGCCCGGGATCCGGCTCCTGCTCAGCCCACCCCGCGCAGCCTCAGCTCCGACCCCTACCCATAGTGTTTTAGTCGCCTGGACAGACGCTTCCGGGCCCCGTCACGTGACACTGGCTTCCCAGCCCAGGTCACGTGTTGCCCCGTTCCATGCTCCTCCTCCTGGACACTTGTTCCTCAGCGTCATCTGGCGGCTTCCAGCTGCCGCTGCAGAAAGGGCCACACTTCTGGGACGACCACAGCTAAGGTGACCTAGACTTTGAGGCTGTCCCCAGAGAAGTCGGCATGCAAAATATCCCTAATTTTTACTCTTGCTGGGTTTTATTTTTGCAGCATATGTCAGTGATCGTGTACCGGTTTATAATCACAAATACACATCTTTTGAAAAAAATCATGCAGCCAGGCCTGACAGGAGAAGACTGCAATCCCAGCGCTGGATAGCATGAAAGTTCAAGGCCTGTTTGGGCCACAGAGTGAGTTCAAGGTAACTTAAAGACATCTTGCCTCCATGTAAAAATTTTAAAGGGGGCTCCTTGGAAAATGGTTTACTGGGTATAATGAGGACCCGAGTTAAGATTCCCAACACATAAAAAAGCCAGGCATGGCAACGTGTGCCAGTAACGCCAGGGCTTGGGCCTAGAGGCAGAAGGGTCCCTGGGTGTCTTAGACTGACTGATCTTGCTAAAACCTTGGGCCCCAGGCTCAATGAGGGACCCTGTCTGAAAAAAATAAGATGGTGGGAGCGACTCAAGGAGAGAAACAATATCACCATCTGACTTCCCAGTGCTCCACTACACACACACACACACACACACACACACACACACACACGCGTGCGCGCACGCTCCACATACCACCACATACACATATACACACATACATATACTCCATACTCCACACAGAACACACACATAGATGTACACACATGCATATTCTCCATGCTGCACACACACACACACACACACACACACATGCTCAGTAAATAATAAATGTGAAATATTTCTTTTTTATTTTTAAGAAAGAAAAAGGAAAAGCAGTAGCGTGCGTTCCAGGAGAGTCCCTTTCCACACTTCCTGGGCCAAGATCCCCATCGGTGAATGAAATCCGGCAGGACATGGGGAGATTGGCTTCCCCTCCTGCTGAAAGCCCTGCAACAGAAAACCGGCTTGATGTGCTGTGTAATAGCCTGACACTTCCTGCAGTGTGGTGAAGAGTGACCCCAAGGTCCATCTTCATCACTTCCCGCTGGATGGCCCTCTGAGCAGTCTTTGGGCTACCCATCTAGAAAGTTCAATTGGAAGCCCTGCTCAATTCTTCCCCTTCCCTGGTTGTCTGCAAGTCACCTAAGCTCTGGCACCTAAAGGGGTCATGCCGCAGAGAGATCTCAGATAACTCCTTCTGTGCCTAACAGTAGGGGGTCATTTCCCTTCTCCCCTGAGCCCCACCTGTGCCCCATCCTCAGGGGTGATGGACTCTGCTCAGCATCCGCTCTCCTCTGCAGAAACAACATTCTCTGTTCCATCTTCAGTACACTCAGCTTCCATCCCCTGTGCTGAAGCTCTTAGATCATACAGTGTGCCTGGGCCCATGCAAAGTTTCCTTGTCCCTTAACTGATTCCGTTGCCACGGTGGACCTTCAAGATACAGGGTGGACACTGGCGATGGCCCCTCCAGCAGCCCCCTTTTCCAGAGAAGGCCTCCGGGCCCTGGTTCAGTGAACACTGTGTAGCCACTGTGGCAGGGATGAAGAAAGCCTGGCCCCCTTTTGTCAGTATCCCAGGAACGATGGCACTGTTCACACTCATGGATCTTTGCTAGAGAGGAAGCATTCAGCACTGTTAGAGTTTAAAGTATTTTGGAACACGATCAAGGACTCACTAAGTGGTAGGAATGGAGTAGACTCTCATTTTGGAACAGCGGTTAGAAAAGATAAAATTGTTATGAAGAAGGCCAGGCATGAGGACACCAGGAGCTAGAGACATAAGAGGCGCTGTGCCACAAAGCAGATGAGCAGCAATACTGAGGAAATTAAAACAGCCGTGGAAGAAAGAATGACACTCGAGGGAGCAAACGCCAAACGTCAGGAAAGAAATGATGCCAGATTGGCACCTCTGGAAGGTGTCTGTCCTTAATTACAGGCTCAGACATCCTGCAAGTCCTCACCTTGCTTTCTGAGGGAGGGTTCCTCATGGGCCTGGAATTCACCAAGTAAGCCAGACTGGATGTCCAGTGGGCCCCAGGAATCTGCCTGTCCCCACCTCCCTAGCACTGAGGTTACAAGCCTGTGCCACACAATGTCCAGCTTTTTTACGGAGGTGCTAGGAATTAAACTTGAGTCCTCACGATTGCACAATCAGCACTTTGCCAACTGAGCCATCTCCCTAGCCCAACTTTTGACTCTTTTCTTATGGTTTTGATGACATGAGAGGAGACAATAACAATTTTTTTAAAATACTACAAATAGGTTTTTTTTTTGTGACAAAGTATTTAAAGATACATTGTGACAAGGTACTAAAGATACTGTGTGTGTGTGTGTGTGTGTGTGTATGTGTGTGTGTGTATGTGTGTGTGTGTGTGTGTGTGTGTATGTAGCATCACGCCATATGATACAACACAGGTGAGTGCCACAACCCAGTACAGAAAAGAAAAGCTATTGAAGTTATAGACACAGCAATTGAGATGCTAGGAAAAAGATTTCCGAACTATTTGAAATTCCATTCGTTCTGGGGTTAAAGGGGACACGCTCACACATTCAGCATGAAGGAGAAATGGGCAATCTGTAGGAACATAGCAGGCCTGGGGGTAGGGAGAGAGCATGATGCCAAGATGCCAATGGGTGTATCAGTTTACACAACCTGTGGATGGTATCAAAGACAGGGTGTCGGAGCACAGGGACCCAGGTGAGGCATACCCCTGTCCATGGTACCTAACTGAGGTTGGTGCACCCAGACAGATCCTAAGGCAGCTGGAGCTCCCGAGACAGTTATGGCTAGCCAACATTAGCTTTGTTGTTTTGCACCAAGAGCTTTCAAAATGCTATCATCTTCTGCCTGACACAGGCAGGTCAGGAAAGCACTGGGCAAGAGGGGCATTCTAAGCATATTTTGTTCAATCGGAGACACTTGAGAATGAAAGAGGTTGTATGGCCATCAGGATTATGATGGAATTGTCCTAGGTAATCAAGGATGGGGATAAAACACAGCTATGTAAACTGTGGGTTGTGGTCCTGGATGGTGTCATGTAACTAATGTGGTGGTGGTGAAAACTTAGTACTGATCAGAGGTTTCTGAAAGTGTAGTGGAAAAAAAAAAAAACTTCAAAATCACATTTATACAGAATCTGGGGTGTCTCTTCAAGCTCTCACCATAGTTGCATTGAATGAACACACATACTGGGTGCATGGCTATGGCACACAACGCCAACAAACGTAGCCTGAAACACCTCGGCTATGTTTCAGACTTTCGCATTACATGTTATAAACATACGGTGCATTCAAGTTTCTATCTTATAGAAGCATAAAGCTGACTTATGAAAAACAAAGACTTAATATTTTCCTAAGCTCATTCCTCAGCATGTGTCAAATCTATCTACCTTTAGGTGAATTTTATTAAGAGGTTTCATTTTTTTTTTTTAATTACAGTTTGGGGACTGCAGAGATACCTCAGAAATTAAAAGCCCTTGCTGCTCTTGGAAGGGACCCAGGCTCAGATTCCAGTACCTTTGTAGCAGCTCAGACCAGTGATCCCAGCTCCCGGGGATCCTCCGTGGCTCCTGCATACGCTAGTGTTGTGCATACAAGCAAGCAGGCACACACATACACACATGTAATTTTAACTTTTTAACTTTTCAAATTGTATTTAGTTGCTGACTTAAGGGTCAATTTTTGAAAAAAAAAATATTGAATGTCTTGAGATAGCACAAATGTCCAACAGTTTCTGAAATGACCCTACACAGACTTCTGCCATTTCATACTGCGTATTTATATAAAAAAAATTTCTCAGAATTTATAATCAGAAGACTGACATTTGTTGTTGTTGAGACAGTCTCTTGTTTAGCCCTGGCTGTCCTGGAATTTGCTTTGTAGACCAGGCTGGCCTCGAAATCACAGAGATCTGACTGCTCAGCCTCCTGAGTGCTGGGATTAAAGGAGTTTGTCACTATGCCCAGAGACAGAACAATTTTTAAAATGTGTGTATTTATGATTAGTTAGCAGTAAACGTTTGATGTTTATGTCTATTTTAGATACCTGTGTACCCAAGCTCACAAAAAACAAACAACAACAACAAAAGAACTTTCTCAGGCAGAAAGGGATCAGCATTGGGAAGAAGTTTACTGTACTCTAATACAGAGTGATGATAGCCTCCAAAGATAGCTCCTAACCTCAGAGCCTGTGAGAAGACTGCCTTGGAAGGCAAAGAGGCTTTGAGGATATGACTTAAAGAACCTGAAGTGAAATTACCTCGTATATTATGAGCTCAGGGGTTACTATAGGAGGGAGGGAAAGTGTGGGGAGGATAGAAGCAGGGGTCATGAGCCTGGTCTACAGAAGTCTCTAAAAGCCGAAGAGCAAGGAAATGGGTTCGTCTTTAAAACCTCAGAAGGACACAACTCCTGAGGACACTTTGGCTTTGGGACTCCCAACCTTCAAGCACAATGACCAAATAAACTTGTGCTTTAAAAATCTGTGTGCAGTTATTATAGAAGGAATAAGAAACTCAAATGGGTGCTATTTATAATCTATAACAAATTTGGGGGCTGGAGAAGATGCCTCTGCCTTTAAGAGTGTGCACCATTCTTGCGGAGGGCCCAAGATCAGTTCCCAGCACCCATGTAAGGTGGCTCACAATCATCTATACCTCAGCTCCAGGGGACCCAACTTGCTCCTCTGCCATCCAAGGGTACCTGTACTTCGTGTGCGCATACATACATGCACATAAATTACAAACTCTATCTTTAAAGCAAGGTTGCGCTGGAGGAACATGGTCCAAGAACGTAATAGGTGTCTCTGATCTCTGCTGCTTCAGCCACACCAAAGCTGAAAACGTGTGCAGTCTTTATCCCGCCCTCTGTCCCTCCACTTCCCTCACCTCTTAC